CCAAGTTAAAAAGTTTGTAATTTTTTATTATTTAAATTGACTTTTTAGGATACATTATTTCAAATAATGGTCCTATGATGCATTCTAAAGAGGTTTAAGCGATCATAGTTTAGAAGATCTCAAAAATAATTAAAGATGTGTAATATTTTTTAGAATTTGCTAATTATTTTTTGGATCTTTATGAAGAACTTTTCTTAAGTTAAAGCTCTTTTTGCATATTTGATATGTAAATACAAACGTGAGTAGAGAAAAGAAGCTAAATTATCTTTTGAAGCCTTGAAGATATCATTTATTTTTGTATCAATCTTATACTGTATCAACTTTCTAAAAACATTCTTTATTAAAATAGATGCATTAAACTTTGTTTAGGATATAATATTGTTATAAATGAAAGAAAATAATAAGCTCTACCTAATAACTTTCTTTTTCAATTTTTTTTTAAAAGCCAAGATTAACTACAAGATCCATGAAAAAGAACTTCTTGCAATTATGGACTTATTTCAAGAATAATATTATTATCTAGAAAGAGCTTTTAATTTAGTCATTATATATACAAATCACAAGAATCTCAAGTATTTCATATTGGCACGTATTTTGAATCATTGCCAAGCTTGTTGGAACATATCTTTATTAAGATTTGATTTTAAGATTATTTATCAATTGAAAAAGAAATAAGATTTATTAAATTCTTTTTTTAGAAATTTTTATCTTGCATCAAAAAAAAAAATATATCTTTTGATTATTAAAGAATATTTTTTTTAAATTGGAGCATTTTCATCTTTGAACAATGAAATTAACATTAATTATTGATTCAACCTTTTATAAGAAAGTTTAATTGTGTATGTCCTTTGATCTTCTTATTTATGATATTAAGAATAATTCTTTTAAGTCTTATGATATTTTTAAATTTTAATTCTAAAATAATCTATTCTATTTCAAAGAATAATTATATATTCCAAAAAATAAAGTATAATTACACATTTTTTAATTTTATTATGACTTTTGAACAATTAGGCATTTTAGATATAATAAAACTTTGAAACTAATATCTAGAGATTTTTGATTTTCTCAAATTTGAAAGATAGTTTAAGACTTTGTATAATCATGTGACATTTGTTCAAGATCAAAAACTCCTTATCATCAATCTTATAGACTTCTTCAGCTATTATCTATTCCAAAACAACCATGGTCTTTTGTTTCTATGGACTTTATTACAAATCTTCTAGTCTTAAGTTCTTTTGTCTCTATATTTGTGATAGTAGATCAATTCACCAAAATGGCATACTTTTATATGATGTACAAAATCTATTACAAGTAAAAAAATAACTAAGTTTTTTCTTGATAATATCTATCGCTATCATAGATTATCAAAGAATATTATATTAGATAGAAAGATGTAATATGTATCAAGATTTTAGAAAATTCTTTTTAAGATTTTGAAGTTCAATATAAAACTATCTTTGGCTTTTCATCATCAAACTAATGGCTAAATGGAGTGAATGAATTAAGTCAAGAGTAATATTTGAGGTGTACCATCAACTATTAATAAGATGATTGAAAAACTCTTTTATCATTGATAGAGTTTTCTTATAATAATAAGGTACATTCTTCTATTAAATAAACACCTTATTTTATCAATTATAGTTAACATCTATAACTTGATACTTTTGACTTTTCAAAAGTTGATAATCTTATAGCAAAAGATGTGACAAATTATTTGTCAGAGCAATATGCAACAATAAAGATGCAACTAAAAGAAGTTTAAGAATGACAAAAGATTAATATAGATGCTTATGGCAAAGAACAACCTGAATTCTATGTTAGCAAGAAGGTATGCTTACTTTATCATAATATTAAGACTATTTGTTCATGTAATAATTTAGATTATTATAGACTTGAACTATTTTTAATATGTGAATAAATTAATCTAGTTGCTTAGTAATTGTACCTACTAGAGTCTATAAAGATCCATTTCATGTTCCATGTATCTCATTTTGAGCCATATAAGACAATAGATATACAAAAAGATAACAAATGCTATCTTCTCTTATAAAAGTGGATAATAACTAAAAGTATGAGATCAAAGAAGTCTTAGATTTAAGAAAGTGCTGAAATGGATTAAAATATCTTGTTTATTGGTACAGATATGATATTAGTGAATGTACATGAGAGCCAGTGAAGAATCTTATAAATATAGAAAAGAAAATTAATATTTTTTTTTTATTGACAACATCTATCAAAACTAAGATAAAAGATATCAAATCTTTGCAATAAAAGAACTATAATTTTAAAAAATTATATTTGACTTCTATCTTTGTTTGTAATTTTTATATATTTATAGCATTAAGAAGATATAGAACCAATAGCCATCAAATTCAACTCAAGAGCCATCATTTGCTAGCTTGTTGAATGAGATTTTGCAATTATTACAACCTTCAAGATGACATAATTGAAATGAAGACCTTCAAGAATGATGTATTTTTTCTCAAATAGATGACAAGATATAAAGTGTTTGATATCATGGCCTTTAAAGAGACTCTCAATGTTTGGTGATTTTATTTTAGAAATAGAAACAAGTCTTAATGATGTTACAAATATTTTATTTGAAAGAAGTTATAAAAGTATCAATAATTATCAAATAATAGGATATTCTTCTTGTCTTGGAATGGGACATTATCAATGGTTGAGAAGACTTATCAACTATCTTTGAAGGGAACAAAATTTAGAATTTGTAACAAATATAATTTTTCATATCTTGGACTTTATTAACATGTGATTATTGATCTTTACAGAACTTGTTCCTAGAAGAGAGAGGAAATAATTTCACAAATATACATATTTATTTCAATAGTTACTTAAATATTATGAATATATAAAAATAGATTTATTTGATAATACCTTATAGAGAAGCTTCCTACAAGCTTCATAGATGTGATTTTACCATTATACATGTCTATAGGTGATTAGTAGATTCAAAATTTGGCCAACAAGTTAGCCACATGTCACATGGACTGATAACTTGTAGTATAAGCTAACAATATGGTGTACATTTAGAAAACTTGCTTTGTAAGTTAAAACATGTGTCTTATAAATTGAACACGTGTTGAAGGTCCTATAGAATATTACTATGTAGCTTCTAATTAGATAGTATATATGGAGGCAAGAATGAAGCCTTCTTCACTCTTGTCTATGTCTTTCTATTCTTTATTCTTGTTTTAAGACTTTCTAGTCTTTTTATCTTTGGCAATAGCCATTCTACTTTAATATTACATCGTCTTTGAATGATTCTTCAATCATTTCAAGTGACATAAGAGTGTGTTGATTTTTTAGTTCTTTAAGATTCATGTCTTTGATATATAAATATGTATATACATATATATATATATATATATATATATATACACGTTTTTTATTTTATATATATATATTCAAATGATAAAATTCACAAATATTTTCAAACAAAATATTGTAATCTTCAATTGTACAATTTTAAAACATCATTAGTTATATAATTTTAATTTGATAAAATCTAACATATCTAATATTATAATTATTTTCTTGTTCAATGTTGGAATATATGATTTTCTAAAAATTATAATATAACTTATACTTTCACAAAAAATTGCATATTCTATGAGTTTTATTTAATTTTAATTTTAATTTTAATAAATTTTTATATTTATTATATGGAATTAATATAAATATATATATATATATATATATATATATATTAGCTATTTAAGATCAAATGATAAAATCTCATTATATCTTATCAATAAAAAAAGTTAACAAACTAAAATACTAAATAAAAATATAGAAAATATATGTATGTGTATGCATACAAGCACACACACACACACACACACATATATATATATATATATATATATAGAGCGAGAGAGAGAGAGAGAGATGTTAAAATGACTTATCCATTTATTAAATTAATCGTTCCTAAGGGGAATAAGGGAGATTGAAATGAGAGTTGGAAACAAGAGAGGGGAGGAGGGAGGTTGGAATGAAAAAGTCTAGGAATGAAGGGAGCAAGGGTTGAGAATGAAGAGGGAGGTAGAGATGAGGGCCATAATTGTAATGATGGATTCTAGAGATGATCCGTTTTTCTAATGATGGTTATGGTAGAGTGGGTCGATTTAATAAATAGATAGGTCATTTTAACATTATCTCTTATATATATATATATATATATATATATATAATAGAATTAATACACTACATTAAAATGAAATATTAAATAACCATATGTTTTTAAGAAATAAAAAGTTAAAATTAATATTTTACAATAAAATACTAAAAGAACTTTTTAAAATTCCAAAAATAAACGTGATAATTTATAAATGCAATAAATATCTATAGATGTTATTTATCAAATTGAAAATGCTTTTGCCAATTGATCATTTTATACCTATTACTATTTAAAAAGGCAATATGGTAATTTTGAGATCTTTGCCGAAAAGATTTCCTTTATATAAACATTACGAAGGAATATTCTTTGCAATCCCAGGATATCCTCAATGAAACTTCTGCATGCTTGAATGTATAACAATGACTCAAGTATTTCAACATCAACATACTCATTCAATATTTTATAAAATATAGAATTCAGCAGTAAAATAGTTTCTGGACAACATCAATAATAGCACCAGTTGAGCTAAATAGCATTGGCAATAATAAGAATTTTTAATGACAAAACTAGACACTGACACGAAGTTCTGCAATAAATTTCAACAGAAATGCGGTGTGTTTTAATATATTCTTTTGAAGAAGTGAACACAAATTGTCTAAGACCGTTTCAATGGCACAAGACTTGAGACTTATGGCATGTTATTCAAGAGCCAAAATGTCAATCAATAAGGCAATAAATAAGGCGATGGACAGCAGTGTTGAAAAATATAGGTAGATATCATGTCATATTAATTACCAGAGGCGCCAGCAAAATCAAGGTAGGGATGAGCAGCACGAAACTGCCATGTTTGGTGATTTTACAACCTCATGGCCAATTGGGTAGTCTTCGTTCCAACACTAAACCCAGTTCCGGTGTCGTCTTCTTCGTCATAATCCCATCTTGTTGTGGTCTTCGAAATATCCTCTGCCACAGACTCAGATCTCGCCATAGCTCGAAGCAAACCGTGGAATGTGAGAACCCAAAACTTAGCCTCCTTCTTTCACCGAGACTTTTTCCAGGCTCCATCCCATAGCCAATCTCATCTCAAGCTTCGTTAATTTCAAGGGAAGCCAGCAAGTCTCTGATTGGAATTTCATTTTCTCATCACTTGTGTGTTGTAGTTGCATCATTTCATATTCTGATGGTGTAGAGGTGGTGCGCACTGGAAGACGACGAGGTCTGTATATGTCCGTATATATATGTATGTAGAAACGTGTGTGTGATACATCTCTAGTGGGTTTTCCCATTTTTTTGTCATGTGTTCATCGTATTGTGTTGCAGTTTGTGCTTTTATGGGCTTGAGTGCTTTCTCTCTGCTGCTGCTGCTGCTGCCACTATTCCTGTTCATGTCTTGAGAATTACACCTTTTTTCTATTTGCCATTGCTGAACGCTGATGCTTTGCCTGGTTGCTGGAGGCTCTGTTCTGCTGCAATATGGTTGGATGTGAAAATTCTGGCGGGGGTAGGGCGTGATGATGTGGGTGCGGCTTAAGCCCTAATTTGATTTCGAGATTTCTGTTGGGGTTTTGCCGCTATCGCTTCTTGGGCGTTTGTTCAACAGGATTTTTAAGTGCGAATCTCTTGCAGGTATGTGAGAACAGTGTACATTGAGAAATTGTGAGCTGTAATCGAAGCTTTGGCCAGTTAATGGGGTCCTTTGTCGAGCTCGCAGAGAGCTTCTGATCTTGGAGCCTCGGATTAGACATTTATACCAGGTGCGTGAGTTTGGAGGTGCATGTTCACGGAGAGTTTCAATTTGATTGGTACATATTAATTAACGATAATCCTTGTATATATGTAGTGCTTGGGATTTCGCTCAGAACGTTAAATTCTTCAGGTTTTTATGTGTCTCCAAGGCACACGCGAACTCTTAAATCTCTCTTGTAGAAAAGAATATGTGTTATATTTGAACTTTCAGTGAGATGGCTTAAATCGCGCATTTTCTTGAAGAATGTGGAGCGTCATAGAGTGGGTGGGAGAAGTGTTCGGCTTTTGATCAGATCCGAGCATCCTTCGGGTCTACACAATATCATCTTCTGTATTCAACGGATTAACACATGCATAATACATTAGATTTTCGGAGTTGGTACTTGAATTGATAGTGTAACTGTCGATAACATAGTCTGTTTGTATGAATGCCGTAACTCGCATAGTCGAAAGATCTTGTGATTTTTCTCGACATTATTTCTTGAAACCCTCGGCTTTCTCAATTTTTGGGCAAGTATTCCTTTTCTCTTTCCCCTTTTTGTCCATGTCTGTAACCAGCTTTGTCTACTCCGGCGGCTTGGCAGTTCAAGTGTCGGGAGTTCAACATGTTGTTCCTGGTGCTCCTGGTGCTGCCACTGGTACTGCTGGCATTGCATTTCTTTCTCAGAGCTGACGCAGACTTCACTTTGATGCTCAAAGGACCCACTCCCCGCAAAGCCATAGAGAATAAAGTGGTGTGGATAGTTGGAGCTAGCCAGAACATTGGGGAGGAGCTTGCCAAAGAGTACTCAATACTCGGAGCCAAAGTTATCCTAACATCTCGTAGGCTAAACGAGTTGGAGCGAGTAAAGACGTCTTTGAAAGGACCCCATGCATCAAACGCGGTGGTATTGCAAGGTGACATTTCTGTGAGTGTGGAGCAACTAAAAGATCTTGTACAACAAGCTGAAGCAGCCTTTGAGGGATCTGGAATCGATATCGTCGTGCAGAACGCTGCGTGTCCTCGACCCAAACTAGCAGCTGTGGATTTTCCCGACGATATACTCCAGAGAACCTTTGATGTCAATGTTTTGGGTGTAATTCGGCTCACTCAGCTCCTCCTTCCTGGCATGCTTCGCAGAGGCAGGGGTCATTTTGTGGTGGTGAGCAGCTCAGCTGCCAAGTTACCATCTCCTGGCCAGACAGTCTACTCTGCATCAAAACACGCAGTGAACGGATTTTTCAATTCTCTTCGCTCTGAGGTTCTCCAGAGTGGGGTGAAGGTCACATTGGTCTGTCCTGGTCCCATTGAAGTGGCGAGTAGTGAGACCGGGGAGCAGAAGAAATTAGACAAGCGGGTTCCAGCTCAGAGATGCGCGGAGCTTATCGTTCGAGCTGGAGCTCATGACTTGATGGAAGCTTGGGTTAGCTATCAGCCTATTCTCCTGCTCCTGTATGTGATGCAGTACCTGCCTGCTCTTGCCTTCTACGTCATCAATAAGGTTGGACCCAGGCGTGTGAAATCATATGCGGAAGGCTCTAGTGTGTATAGCATGGGCTTGTTGCTCAAGAAGTCTTCTTGAATGTCCTTAGAATTGCTGAACGGATATTTGAAGAGCTTATCAGGGTTTTTAATTCGGGAAATGTGTTGGTAATTGTCTTACGTAGAGTTTTTGTCTCACCTAGCAAAGTACTAATGCGTCGAACTGCTGGAATCTGTACTTAGTCCTGCAGTAAAATTTTGTGATCTTTGAATATTAGACTCGGAGGCAACGTGGAGAACATAAAAACCACTCATAGAAGCCGATTCATGAAAGCCAGAGCCGGTTCATTTGCTAGGCTCCTTTTGAAATGTCGAGGGGCTATTAAGGCACCTATTTGCAAGCTCGTAGATAGCATGGGTATTTCTCTCATACTCCTGAAGGCTTTGCACCTGAAGTCGATTAGTACTTGGTTCGGGCCGGTCAGACACGGTTCAGTGCTACATCAAACTCAATCGTCAAGCCTAGTATCATTCAATAGTTAGAATTGAACACCATATATTCATCAGATGGAAGCACTCTATGAATCACCTATTTTCCCTGTATGATATGTTTGAAACATGAAGTAGCATGTTACTTTTACAAGGACACTCATATTTTTGGTTTTATACCTTATCTTCAAGAAATAAGGTCAAGAAACTTAGGAGTAGATAACAGTAACAATGTAGATGAGAGGCTACAACTCTCTTTTTCCTTTCATGAGATGAGAGACTTTACTCGAGTGTATGCCTACAAATTAAAGGGTAGAAAACTACCTTATTTTCCTTCACTTAGTAGTGGAAATTATTGTATAATACAAATTATTGTATAACACACATTTTGTGAGTTACATAAAAAACTTGTTTTTATGGTATCAATGCAAGACATCATGTCTTGTATTCCATCATTTTTCTATAAATACTCCTCTTTGTAGCTTTCAAAGAAAAACGACTAGTTTACTATCAAGACTCTTTAGTATTCATATAACTTATTCTCTAATAGAAGTAGAATTATGAACCTTAAGAAATACAAAGACTATGAGAGCCACCTAAATTAGTAGGTGATGGCAACCACCTAATGTATGCTTTCATTTTGGATCAAATTTTAGGCTCTTGTGAAGTATGAGATTTAGTTGACATTCCAATGGCAACTGTAGCAACTTCAACTATAATTAGTAGTTATGCCTCCTTACAAACAAGAATTGCATCTATTGTCATTATTAAAACACATATCATCAATGAAACACCAACAATTACAAGTCTTGCCATCAACATTGCTCTTCAAATGAAAATTGACAAATTCATCATGGTTATCATAACAATTGTAATTAAGAAAGTGTTGCCAATCTTTAAGAAGTAAAAGAAAGTTCTTTGTACTGTTCAATTTGAATAAAAGAATAATTTTGAAGTTTTTAATCTTCAAAGGAGTTCAATTTTTAATCAAATTTTTTCTCTTATATCTCTTTAAATTTTAGGTCTCCTTCCAAAACATTTTCAATATAATTTTTATATTGAGTTGTGTAATGTCTTTTTTTAATTTTAAAAAATATATTAAGAAGAAAGGACAAAAGGACAAGATTGACAATTGAACTAGAGAAATATTTATTGTTACTTAACTAAAGAAAAGTTAGTCTACTTACAACATCACCAAATCAATAGAGAAGAAAAGAAGAATGCCAATTTGCACACTTTGTAATCAATGAGATCATCAACATTGCAATTGTAAAATTAAACATGCACATAACTAGCTAAAATCTTAGACCTTTACTCAATTATAAAAAATCCTATAAACCATCAATGACATAAAAAATAAGCAAGGTAATGCAACCAAGAAATAAGTCAATTTAGACTTAAAAAATATAAACAAAATCAGTTTATTAGAAGAAATTCGCTTGATAGTAATTCTTGGTTAATTTCAAGATATTTAAATCATGGACTTTGGAGCAAACTTAAAATTTATGAATAAAAAGGAGACAATATTAAATTTCAAATCCTAAGACTAAAAAGATATCTTAAGTAAGTATCCGTCACTTCTCACTGAGTTGCTATCATTGTTAGAAGCTCAAAAATTCCAATGAAAGATAAAAGATATATTTTTATTATTATAAATAAAATCAATTTTTAATATTTATCATATTTTTTCTATTAGAACTAATCTACAAACAAGAAAGAAGCTCTTGCTAGAGATTTTGAATGATATTTGAAGTTTTTGGCCAAGTTTTTATCAACATACTCTTTGAGTGAAGCCAACTTATTTGTAATAAGCTATAGATTGGTCCAAATAGTACTTGATCTCTTCTTTAAAGATCAATTGATTAACCATAAAAATAATGTTTTAAAAAAGTAATTATATATATATTTTTTAAAAAAAATCCTTGATAATCCTTATATTTAATTAAAATATCACTTAAAGTCTTTTTAATATTAAAAAAATATGTAGTAAAAATAATAAAATTTAAAATTTCTTTTTCATCATATATGAAAGTTCTTTCACCTACAAATAATGGTTTTATTGTGCTACACTTATAACTTTCTACTTAATTAATAAAAATCTTAGTTATACTATGGAAAAAATTAAGATTATAAAAAATCTAATCTATCAAAAGTTTATATATTTTTAGTCACAATAAATCTAAAATGATTGGATTAAAAAGAAATTAAATAATATTAAATACTATTAAGTTATTAAGAATATTTTTTTATTACATCTGCAAGAATAGTTTATAGGTAATATCTTCAAAAAATAAAAGACAACTACATGCATATTATTGCATTGTAATACTACTATTAGATGAAAAAGAGATAAAAGTGTTATATTATAGAAGATCTTATTTCAAAATATAATAAAAAATTACCTTAAAAATATAGATAATAGTCAAAGAGGTAATAAAATTAATAAGTACTAAAGTTTCTTTTTTACAAAAAAGAGCTTTTATTTACTTTGTAAGACCATTGACAAGATAAAATAAGATAGATTAGCAAAAAAAATATTATTGATATCTTTGAGTAGAAATAAATAATAATTTTTAGCAAAAATTATTTAGAAAAAAATAATGTTGATGTCTTGAGAGGAGTGGTTGTGAATTAGAATTGAAATCAGATCCTAAGGCACAAAACCAAACATCTATAACAATTTTGGGATTCTTTTGTTGATTGAAAAGTAAAATTTGAGAGCAAACTAAAGTAGGCCTCTATAAATATTATTTTTGGATGTATTGAATTTGAAATGAGTTTGTAAGAGCTTTGTAATATTAAAATTATTTTGGAATGACTCTAGTTTTTTGTAAAATAAAAAAGCTTATATTTTAGTGATTTTTTTGTGATTTTTAGCAAATATATAAGTGATTTTTTTGGATTAGTTCATATAATTTTTTTGAGTGTGTATTATAAATTTGAGCTTGATTAAAAATTTAGATTAAAAGTTGTTGTTATTCAAGTAGATAAGTATCTTAGAATTTGGATATTTGATAGCTAGTCAGGTTTGTCATAGACATATATAATTACCTAAATAAGAAGTGTTAGATAGAAAGTAAATATAAATAGATTTGATAATATCTTACATAAAAGCTTCTTAGAAGCTTTATAGATGTGGATTTGATATTATATGTATTTGGAATTGATTGATAAGTTGGAAACTTAACTAATAAGTTAGCCACATGTAGTACATATTGATAACTTATGTTACAAGTTGATTATATGGTGCACATATAAAAAAACTTGTCTTACAAATTAGACATGTGTCTTGCAAGTTAGACACATATCATAGGTCCTATAGAACGTTGTTACATAGCTTGTGTCACTGACACAAAATACAGACTTGAAATCTAATAAGAAGTTCAAGAAGAAGTGGCAGAACTAGATTAAACAGATGAGTACAAGAACAACACCAGAAAGGTGAGCTAGAACTCCAAGAGATGTGTTGTCGAGACTAAAGAACTCTTCAGCCTCGACTCCTATATATACTACTGGCCTATGGTTCTAAAGAAGCGCATCAAGAAGCTTCCCAAGAACTATAAAGCTTCTCGAGCAACTACCCAAGAGCTAGGAAGCTTCTCAAGTAACTTCCTAGAATCTACTAGAATATTCTAAGAATCTTCTAGAGCCTTCTAAGGGAATCTTTAGGGAATCTTTGAAGAATATTCTAAGAGAATATTCAAGGAATCTTCTGGAAGTTTTTAGAGACTTCTTTCTAGAAGGTTCTAGAAACTTGTCTCTAGAAAGGTCTAAGGACTATGTCCCTAACATCACCTCCTCCTTTAGCTTCGAGGTCTCCGAGAAGCAATGTTATCATCAGTCAATACCAATGCAAGAAAATGAAGATCTGTCGCATAACCTCTGCTATGAACTCCAATTGTTGTTCACGAGGCAAGTGATTCAATGGTTCTTGAAGCCAACGGTAGTGGCCCACGCCTTCAACTTCTGACCAAGCATGAACCTCCGTGTCTTCATTGTGAAATTGTCCTGCAAATACTCCTTCTGGCTGACCATTGTAGGCAGGTTCGACCTCAAATACAATCACCAGCGATCTGTTGCTCGGAATCCTTCGACGTCATCGTGGTGTAAGCGGTTCTTCATCTTGCGGTCGTCTTCGTGAGCTAGTTGCTTGAGATGACATGACAAGTATAGTATCTTGGCTATCCATATTCAAAGGCTAAAACAATAAGAACAAACTTGGGCTATTAACAAAGTTCTACGCTATCTTGGAGAGAATGACTACATCAACTATGGATTTTGGTGGTGCTCTCTCCTCTTTTCTGTTTTCTGGATGAGTAAGCTTCAGTAAGAAGCTATCGTCGAACCGGCTTGGGTTTCTCAGGATATCATTGATGAAACTCCTGTACCTTTTGCGGCGCATTCGCGAGATTTTTGGTCGGCTCCCATATTCGTTCATTAATATCGTAACCGCTCTAATGCACAAAGTATTCTAATTTACCCCGTCTTTGCCGTGAATCCAGGACCTTTTCCACCTCGTATTCTTCGTGGTTCTCTATTTCTATGCTAGGTGGTGGACATTGTACTCTTTCAGGAAAAGACGATTCTCGATAAGGCTCCAATAAAGAAACATGAAAGACAGGATGTACCTTCATAATAGCTGGTAACTCCAGACGATACGCTACAGGATTGATCTGCTTCTGGATAACAAATGGTCCCAATCTCCGATAGTCCAATTTGTCACATGACCGCTTGGTCTTAATATTTTGTCGAAGCAGCCAAACTTTGTCTCCAATCGTGAATTTAGGTGCCTGATTCCGAAATTTATCCGCGGACGCCTTGTAAGATTCTTGGGCAGTTTGCAATTGAAGCTTCAATGTAGTTTGAAGCTGCGAAAGCTCCTTCACCAATCCTTCAGCTGCCGGATTGTTAATCGTTGACGAACTCCATAAGTCAAGCTTCGGATGGTATCCATAATTGGAAAAGAATGGCGTTTGTTGAATTGACGCATGAAGGGTGTTGTTATATGCAAACTCGGCTAGCGGTAGATATGCGACCCAATCATCTTGTTGATAGTTGATGGTGCAACGTAAATATT